CTCCTACTTGTTAGGTGACGCATGATGATTTGCATGTGAGACATGTTGGAATATAACAATTCCAATAGGGGGTAGCAGAAGGCTTGTAGCATGCATAAAGAAAAGTTCAAATATAGGGGGCAGCACTGGACAAGAATAGCTAATCTTGTGAGAGGAGGTAAATACTGTATCAGAATAAGGAGCCCGATACAAATGAGTGGAAAGTCTGTAACTATTACTGATGCCAAAGGTGCTATACTAAATATCACCATTAAGGAAATTTAAACTTACAGATAACATAGTCACTATGGGATCTAAATAACTTTATCCTAATTTTACATGCTTGAACACAAGTCTAAGTATGTATCACATTAGAGATATTTAAAACATCTATTATCTCTAGATCTCCTTAAGTTTTAAGCTACATTCTCTTAAGTCATCTTTCTGCTTTTAGGAATTGGTCATCTTTCATTTGTTCTCTTCAAGTATTGCCACTGAACAGACTTGCTTTAGCAAGGTCATCTACAAACAAAATAGTGGATTGAAACATACTGTAGACAGTTATAAGAATCCAGAAAACAGCTAAAATTTGATGGGAAAAATATATCCATTTTAGCTGTTTTCTGGAATACCTCCAATATCTATAGGTTATACACAGCATTTATTCAATGTTGTTATCACAATTTGTTTTAACTAAAATGTATAACACTGACAATTTTGCACCAATTTTCATACAATTGTCATTAAGGATATTATGAAAATTTATTTTATAAATTAGCATAATAGCTATGGATTCTTTATCCTTACCTTACATAACCTAATGCAAGCCTAAACATTCTGCCTTTAAAAATTATGATTTTATTTATAGTGTCAAGTCTTTATGTTGTGATGAATGCTCAGACCTGTGTTGGAGTATTTAATTCTAAGGTTAGGGTAGAGAAAGTTTTTGTATCCTATAGTAACTGTGTTAATTGCTTGAGCTGTACAAAGTCAACAACCATACCATGTTAAATGATTGACCCAGCATAACTTTTGGTGCAGTTGAATAAAATTATAAGTGTGAAAGGTTAAATATTTAGAATTTGTGTTGGAGTTTGTATGTCTAGGATGAAAAAAAGGTATTTATATTCTGCATTGACCATGTTAGCAATTTATACTGAGTCAACAACCACACTGTGAAAAATAATTGACTCGGCATAACTTATGTTAAAGTTGTCTTCCACTTTTAAGAACTGATCACCTTAGGCTTGTTCCTTTTATAAGCTGTTGGGCAAATTTTCTTTAGTGAGGTCACTCTCAAACACTGAGGTAGATATATACGGGTAGAACTAGATCAGTTACATTAACAGTCATAACTGTGCTAATATTCTGTGGACATCTATCTGGAACTTGCCACATAATAAATAAGATACAAGTTTGTAAGTGTTTCTGTAATTTATAGTATTACCAACATACAACATTAAATTTCTTAAGCACTAATAACTATGTTGGTCAAATGTGATATGCATTGTACATGTGACAGTTTCACTAAGCAGGCCTAACCTCGTCAGGTGTTATTGGGTTAAGGGCCAAAAACGCTATTTGCAACAAGGCTGTCCAAATGATGACCTAGGACAGTGATCATAGAAACTTTTTGTACTTTACCTGTTACTCATAATTATAACAACTGATTAATAACTTTAATTGTTTTTGTAGAACTTTCAGCAGCACTTCTGGCAGAAGTTATCACATAACTGTGTAATAGTTGTTTGTAAGATTAATTAGCTATAATAGTTCATTTCTACACTAAATCAATGACTAAAGTGGGTTGAGTGCATTATATTAAAATGATTTTGAATATTCAAGTCAGTAAGCCACATGACAACTACAACCAGTTCCACTGGAATGTAATGTTTCAGAGCAATATTTTGACATTGTTTGCTGTTTTGTAGGTAGTGTTATGCCATTGGAAATTTATCAGTTTTGGGAAGGGTATGTAACAGCCCTATCAAATGCAATGTTTTTATACATTCAGACCATAAAAATATGTTCAGTTTGGGGATTTTGAATTTATAAGATGAGGCTCTTGTACTTAATGGCATTTGAAAACAAATTAATATGAATTAGCTTGAGACACTAGGACTATCCAGAAAATACCTCAGCCAGTCATGGTAAGCAAAGTGCAGTTTCTTGTGATGGTTGAGAATCCTTAAATATACAAGTCAGTGGAAAAAGTAATGAATGAGCCCCAGAAAACAATATACAGCATAATCAAGAAGGAAGTCCATTTGGAAAAGCCACACAAGTCATGTGTACACAAGTTTTTATCATGACATATCAGTTCAATTATTGCATACTTCAAGCAGCTGGAGAATAAAAGGAGTAATTTTAATATTCCATGCAAAGACTCCAGTGAGGTTGCTGGACACAGCACCTATAGATCTCCAAGTGATTGGATTGTTGAAAAGACTGCTGGGAAATCATTGTCCCTGTATGCAAGAAGGTTTACAGAAACCAGCATAGAGGAGTGATGCACTTAGGACACAATAGCCTTATGATGGAGACTTGTATTGTGAACTAATGCTGTAGTGGTATTATCAACATCCAAGGTTAGATACAGAATGACTGGATTTACTTATGTTCTTGAGTAATGTTGCTGTTAATGCCATTTTCAGTTGTAAACTTGATAACATCTCACAATGCTCAACCACTTTAAAGATTTAGATCAGTTCTAAATTCATGTACTAAATAACCAATGTAAAAAAAAAACTCTATAATAAAAGTATAACAATAAAAATAATTTACAAAATTAAAGCTATTTCTTTAAAGAACACACATCTCCAGCTAGTTCTTCTCACAAGCAGTAAAACCTCCACTGAGACCACTTTTGTGATCATGTGTATATTACTGTTCTCCATGTAACACTAACACCAGTATTTACAGCAAGATTATTGACAAGATCTGTACTTCATCAGCACCTCTCACAAAAGTCATATCCTGAGATCCTTAACATCACTTTTGGATAGTTTCAATTTTCTACTTCAACCAATTCTATCATTAACAAAGCCAATTTCATGTACCCTCTTCACAGTCTTGCATACAGCTACTACTGAAACATAGAGTCTTGCTACAATTTTATGCTTGGAGTACATTAACAAGACAAAACTTTAATTTGTACATGCTTGTCATGCAGCATTTCAGTCCCAAAAGTTATGCCTGAATACACCCTACTTTTGTTTGGCATAGAATGAATGCTGTACTTTTAAAGGCTTTTTTATAGGTATGTCACTTTCTGATTTATTGATTGAATGGCATGCAATCATAATGTAAGTTACAAACACGTGACTATAGTCTGGTGCAGTAAATTTTCACATGATAAAGGACTGGCATTCCCATAGTATTTGCCTTGTATATACTTTTTCTTCATCATTTCTATAGTTATTTCTAGTGCTTTATATTTTGGCTAAAAGATTTATATCTTTATGAACTACCACACTGTCATATCCAAAAAGTTTAAATATATCAGTATTTTGCATCAGAAACAGATAAGGACAGATGATTAGAGTACTACATTAGAAGTTTAGTAAAATATGTGCCTACCTCATGTTTGGCATCTATTGAAAAATCATGGTGTGGATCTTTTCGCCATCGAATAGCAATTCTGGTACCAAAAAAATTGTCACATTAAAAAACTTTAACAGACATTAGACTAATACTTTACTTAAACTCATCAATTTCCATTTTTATTATCACATATTATGAACAGAAAATTCCTCAAACATTAATTTTTACACCAATCTCTAAATACAAATTAACTTAGAACTTATTTGAAAAAAATATTTCAGGTTAGATTTAACACTTCTTTCTTTACAATATTCCTACATTTTGTTACCAAAATTACACTTCTGATTTAGTAGCAAAAAATCCTAAACCACAGTATTATGGCTAGATAAAATCAGAAATAAACTGTTTGAATTTTGATAGATACCATTTCAGTTAATGTATTAAACCTCATCAGTAAATTTCATTTAACAACTATTACCTAACATGACGTGTATGGATGATTTTCTTGTACCATTTACAATTAAAATAACAATGATGTAAGTTGAATATATTAACAAATCTTTCAATATGCAGATCATGTGACAACCACAGCCAATAAAAAGTCACAGTGGAACAGAGTATATTAGAACTACATTTTACCATTGTAAAATTTATTGTTTTGGGAAGGGTAGGTAACAGATTTTGTAGACACAAAATATTCATACAATCAGATAAATTGTAACAACTATTATCTAACAATGTGTATGGAAGATTTTAAGTCCAGATAGAGAATTTACAATTTCCAAAACAGGGGATATCCCTTATACTTAATATCACTGGAAAATAAAGAAATATGGATCAGTTTGGAGCACTGTGGCCATACAGGCAGTTTGGTTTGGTTTTTGAATTTCACTTAAAGCTATTTGAGGCCTACTTGCACTAGCTGTCCCTACTTTAACAGTGATAGGCTAGAGGGAAGGCAGCTAGTAAACACCACCCACTGCCAAGTCTTGGGCTACTCTTTTACCAAAGAATAATGGAATTGACTGTCATATTATAATGCCCCCACAGCTGAAAGAGCGAGTATATTCGGTGATGAGGAATCAAACTCGCAATCCACAGATTGTGAGTTGAGCACCCTAGCCACCAGGCCATGCCAGATCTATAGACAAACCTGCAACAAGTTGTACCCCAGCCATGATACGCAAAGTATGATGTTTTGTAACAGGTGAGAATCCATGAATACAAAGGTAGAGCTTGGTGATTTAATTGATTAATGTCAAGAAAATAATCAACTAATCGAAATTAGTGTTTTCAATTATTCCAACAATCAATTAAATGAAATTACTATTAAATCTGTTGTCACAAAAATTATCAACTAATCAAAATCATGATTAAATCAACTGTCACAAAAATAATCAACTAACTGAAATTAGGGTTTTTAATTATTCTGAATATCCAAGTAACTGAAATATTGTTATTAAACACAAAGCAACATAATGGGTGTATGTGAGGATGCTTCATAATTTGAGAGTTTTGGGTTTGATTCCCCTTGCTATTAAATTTACTCTTTTTTGTTATTGCAAAGCTATCTAGGCCACAGTCACTAATTTTGAACTGCTAACTAGAGGGAAGGCAACTGGCTGTTAGCATCCACCACCAACTCTCTGGCTACTTAAGTATTAAATAAAGTGTAAATGTTAACATTTTCCTAAACTTAAAATGTATTTTCCATAGATACTTAGCTCACTAACAAAAAGCTTTCTTGACTTTTAATTCCCTCTACAGGTGCAAATTTTTGTTTGCTACTAGCCTTGTTACTCCAACTTATTACTGCATACTAATATGCAAATGATCATGCAGCAAACCTCCACCAATAAAAGTGCAACACTATTACTATTGTAAGTAGTGCCCTCCCTAATCATGCACATGTTCATCACTTCAAGATTGGTCATAACTAACCAAACCAATTCAAACCCCAAGTGAGGAGGATGGGTGGGAAATTTGATTGGTGTGTCTATTGGAGATACCTTTACAGTTTAGGCAAATGTTAACTTCTGATACAATATAGTACCTCCACTCATAAACTCCCACACTGAACTGATGGAGGGCCAGTAAGAAGATGATCCCCTTTTAAGGAAGCACCCAAAGGAACTCCGTGAGGTGTGATAAGAAATTAAAACAACTTACCAGTGGGAGACTGCACAACTTTTAAGCCAAGTATGCTCTTCACCCTTTAGTAATGTGTTGCCAAACTGTAAAGGGCAAGAACTTGGATGGGTCCAAAAAATAATGGGACCCCTGGGGTAGAGTGGCTAGGATGTGACAGACCATAAATGGCAGTTCAACCTCAATCAACTCCTGGCTGCATCTGGAAGTGTACATCAGGTTTCCACAGTAGGAAGAGGGTCCTCCACCTTTTACCTCAGAAATGGGTACTAGCAGGGAAGAGGAGCTCCCATACCAAAAACCCATCTCTGCATGTGTGCACCTTCATCACCAAATCCACTGGGAACCAACATCTTGCAGGCGATAGGAAGGAGGAGAGCCCAAGTGGGTGTTCATCACTGGTCAAAAACCTGGCAGCACTGGGAATTTATCAATCAGTCAGCAGTAGAACGATGGTACCAGCTAAACACATGTGAGGACTTATCTGGCTGGACAGTCTCCAACCAGGTACCTGATGATGACAAAACCTTGTCGAAACGTTGCACATTTGCTGTTATGTTAAACTTATATTAAAGTTTTTCTTCATTACCCATTCAAGCCGTCTCCAGCCATTATTAGTCTCAAAGTAGGTTCCTTGTCAACAATTTTAAACTGCAATATATGTATACATATATACATACACATGACAGAGTGCTACATCTAACACCTGGCAGCACCTGGAAATACTGATCAGGTTAATGGTAGGAAGGGTGTCATGCCATTGTAACCCACAAAATGTCATCGCCCTACTCTCAAACTGAGTGGTATTGTGCACACACAGAAGAACTGGCCTCCATGGTCCACCACCCCAGTGGCTAGGAACTGGTAAGTGGCAAGGACTCCCATATTCCACTACAAGAAGGAGGGAAATAATGCATTGGAGAGTCAAGAGGATTGCAGCACCGAAGATGGTGCAACGGGTGATCATGATACCCTATATTGAAAAGCAGAGTGATCACGTTGACTGAGTGCAACATCCAACACCTGATGGCATTTGGAATTGCACATCTGGTCCTCAGTAGGAAGAACCTCAAATGTCATGGATCATCTAGGATGGGAAGTAATCTCAGTCTGCTTTACTCCTGTTAGTCCACGAGTGTACGGTCTGGGACGAACATATTTATGAAACAAAAATACTGCAAGGTATACCTATGAGCAGTCCGGGAGAACACTCCATCTCAAGGGTAGGTGTAAAATGACCTTGTGTCATGTTATTTTACTTGTTTTACATTTTATATCAATGCATAGAAGACATATTGGACAGAGTTGATCAACCAACACCTGATGACATCTGGATTGGTACATCAGGTCTGTGGTAGGAAGAGTCTCAATATCACAGTCATCTAGCATATTCAGAGGTTGTACAGTGAGGATTTAAGACTATTTATACCTGGTCAGGCAACACTCGCCACAGAGTAGGATCCAAATATGCAATAAAGACCCCTGCAAAGAAAAATAGAAATGAATAGAGTACTTACCACCACAGATAAACAGTGACAGCATTGATGATGTCCCTCAAGGGAAGATGAAAATGTGTAGCCAAGGGAAGGGTAAGGTTACAGATCTGGTGGGAATAAAACATAAAAATGTGACAATCATCATGAGAAAGGGAATAAAATGGCAGACGAATGAACTAGCAAATTTAACCCAGAAGGGTAAAGGTCACAGGAGATGTGAGGATTTCACAGAAGAAACATACGTACTCTGGAACCAAGGAAGGAAGCAGTACGCATCACATATCATTAGAGAGCCCTGACCTGACAAAGGAGGTGGAGGGATTGGAACATTTGAGAAGGGATGAAACATAGGAAACAGGAGAAAAGTACAGAACATTATAACATACTTTAATAGCAAATCCACGAAATGAATAAAAGGTCTGGGCAAGTCCCCTGAAACAACACGTGACTAAGAGACATATTCAGGAGGGGGGGGGGGGAGGGCTGTCCAAATCTATAACTAAAAGATCACTGAAACCTTGTTACGACAATCATAAGTGTGTTCTGATTGTTGCATGAAAGTGGTCAACTCCCAACAGACCAGAACTGTTACTTTATGAGCCGAGATCGTGGTTTTGACCTGTTAGACATGGTCAGGAATTCTGCTGCCACAGTAAAAGCAGTCATAGTCATGACCACCCAAAACTGAAAGTGCATAACTCCAAAAATTGAAAGAGGAGATAAGATAAAATAAATCATAACTCTCTAAGAAACAGAAAAAAATGTAAAATAAATTAACTGAAGGAAATGTTCACAAGAGTAAAAATGTGTGGATAGGTTAATTAAACCATGAGCAAAAAACCCATCTAATCAGTAGACCTGCCAATCAAGAAGTGATTAACATGTGCATGACTAGAGAAGATGCTGGCTACGATATGGGTAGTGTTTCACTCCTATTGGTGGAGGGTTGCTGCATGATCATTTGCATGTTAGTATGCAGTAATAAGTAGGAGTAACAAGGCTAGTGATGAGCGAAAATGTGCACCAACAGATGGCAGCACATTTTGTTAGTAGAGGTAAGTATCTATAGGAAATACATTTACTGTTTTTTTACAAAGTGTTTTATTTGCAATTAATATTTGCTAACTGCATCATTTCATGTTGTATATGCCAGTATAGATCTGGGGGAAGGGCTCAAAGCCTCCCATCTATTTTTGTTCCAGAAATTAATAACTATCTTTAATGTTGTATAAGCAGGCACAGATTTAGAGAAGAAGTCAAAGCCCCATCCTTCCATCTACTTTATCATAAATTAACTGCATTATGTTAATAGTTTTGTTTTGAGCTTACTTACTGATTAAGTATTATTTTATTGCAAGTTACAGCTTTTAAAGTAAGGAACATTTTTTTTAGAACAGGTGCAATGTTTCAATCACTAGTATGATCATTTTCAAGTACACAAGTTTTAAGGGTGAAATCTTGAAACATTGTAACTGTTCTAAAAAAAATATTACTTTGGCACAAATTGGGGGGGGGGGCTGAACCCCTTCATTTTCTTTCAGAAATTAATAATAAAACAGCCATATAGTATCAAAAAGAAATATTAGATATTAGTGACTATATTTGACTGATCTGTTAGTTACTGTAAAAACTTTTTCAGTTTTTCTGAAGTCAATATAGCTAGAGCCTATAGCAATCCACTAACAACGTGTGTGTGCTCTAGACTTTAGAGATTCCTTTTCATCAAAGTTAGAGCTGCTTTAAACAACTGCAGCTCTTATAACATACTAGCTGACGTACCCACAAAAAAAAAAACCTAGGAGCCCCACCCTTTCTTCCTCTAGCAAGCTTTGTTCACCAAACTTCCCCCTTCGTCATGAAAGAAAAACAATCACACTTTGAGAAAATAAAAATATTTATTTCAATCAGTTAATTTTCCTGAAATCTCCTCACAAAATGAAACATTTTTAAAGTTGGTCACTAAATGTTTCAGAGTGGACAATGGTCACTAAACGTTTCACAGAAGACACTGATCATTCAATGTTTCAGGGTAGGGTTTGGTCCAAAAATATTTCAGAGCAAACTTGATCACTAAATGTTTCACCAAAGTTCATTTTCTGTGAATAAACTAACAACAATATCAGGTTATACTTTTTGCTAAGCAACATAACATAAAAGCCATAACATCTATGAGATCCCATAATAGTTACATAAACCATTTCTATAATATCCCATAATAGTTAAACAAACCTTTTTAATCAAGACATTTACTATGCTATAAATGAAAGTCCAGAGATACAGATTTTGAGTGGATTGTTTATTGTTATTTTTTGTTTAACTTGACACCAACCACATCCTTTCAACACATGGACTATAGTCATGAGCTTGCATGAATCTTAGATTTTCTCATCAAGCATCGAATGACAACAATAAATACAAGGTTAAAGATATTCAAGAATTCTGAAGCATTCTCAACAACCTTAACAACCATCACAAAATGAACAGTTTTGACGTAGTCTCCATACATACAATGATACCAAAAGATGAAGCAAACAACCTAGCTTTAGAAAGGATATAAAAAAATTTTGACAAATTGCATTACAACTTGAGCTTGAAAAATTTGAGACTTGTTCCACTTTTCATTAAATATGTTTCACCTGTCATGATAAAACTTATGAACAAATAGACAGCCTGAGCAGCTCTCTGTCACCTGGATTATGTGAATTGTTTCTCAATAAAATAGAAAATCAGGCCATTAACACAGTTCTACACCCTCCTACACACTGATTTAGATATGTCAGTGATGTAGTTTGTGGATTTGAGGACAATAGCCATCAACAATCATTTCTACAACACATAAACAACATTCACTCTAATATCAATTTCATTTATGAAGAATAGAATGACAACTAGGTTTTAAATTACATGATCCTAACAACAGAAATAAATTCCAACAGTTTTAAAAAGAAAATATTCCACAAATCTGATAATGATAGCAACTATATGAAGGTAGATGCAGGCCACTCAACTGTTGGAAAGGTTGGCAACCTTAGATGCTGTGTGAAGGACTGCATAATTTCCATGCATGAAATTTAAGTTTCAGGATATCTGGGTGTATAATGTTGGATCGTGGCTCCCTCAACAGAGATGGTCATAGATAAAGTTGCAGAGGTGGGCACTCTTGAAAAAGCTGGAACCAAGGTTGAATCAGCCAATCCGGTTCTACTAACAGCACAAGGCTAGGAGTTTACCGAACCATAGCCAGAACTTTGAGTAACAGACAAATCAGTGGTAAGTCATAGAGGTTCAATCCTGTCCAGTACTGACAGAATGCATTTATCGCTAATGCCCGAGGGTGAGATACCAGTGACCAAAATACCTGTAGTTAAGTGTTCCAATGAGTGGCAAATGCATCAATGTAGCATCCATTCGGTCGGTAGAACCCAGTTGGGTCGAGACAATTAATCTATTACTAAATTCATCACCCCTGGAACATGGCAAGCTTCTAGGCTGATATTATGAGAGTAAGCCCAATAAAGAAGATCCAATGTTCAAATACAAAGATCTCGTGGTCAAATGCCTCCTTAACAAAAAATGCAAGACACCACCATGGAATTGTTGGAGTGAAGCATGATGATTTTTTACCTCAATAATTCTAGACCCTGAGACATTGCACACTGAACAGCAAGAAGTTCTAAAACATTGATGTGGAAGGAAGTTTTGTTGTCCATCCATATGCCTTGAAGTGAGGCATCTGTGAAGAGATGGATCTTGAGAGAAGGTAGTGATAGAGGAACACCTATCATAATATTGTTCCAATCTAACCACCACTCGAGATCTAGGATTTTGATCCTGAATAAGTAGACTTGGTGATACAGTGGATTACTGTTCATGATTCATTGGTCATGCAGCAACCACTGAAGGGATCTCATGTGTGCTCATCCCAAAGGAATGAGGGTTTTGAGTGATGCCCACACCTCCAAAAGAGAAAGAACCATCCACTCAATTGACCAACTGAAGAAAAAGAACCGGAGGTGGGTGATCCAAATTGGCCTCATGAGAAGCTGACCTAGTGAAGAAAGGCACCAGAAAAAGTGAATCTATATTTTCTTTTGAATGTCCAGTCTCATCCTGAACTCTTCATAGAGAAAACGTAATAGCATTATCTGAATGAGGTGCTTATATACAGTACAAGGATAGAGGGCTCATTGACGTAGATGGAGAGTGTCACGAGACAAATATTGCCAAGGGCAATTAAGTGGGGAGTAAAAGACTGAAGCAAATAAGAAATAATCAGACCAATGCTTAGATGGGCAAAGGAAAGAAACCCTAACAGTCAAGTAATAGCTGTAGTGTGAATAGAGGTAGGTATGTTTTGGAATAATTTTAATACCATGGGGATACTTCTAGTGGTTTTATGAAACACCCCATCTCAACAGTGGGCATTGGTAGAGCACTTTTCATTACCCCTAGCCCAATAAGGAATTTGGGAAATAAACATATCCTGAGAGGCAACATCAGACCAAAAAGGGTAGTCCTCAACGAGATGAGCAACAACCTTGATATCAGGAAGTAGAAGAAGGCCAGGAAGCTGAAATGGGAAATGGAGATATGGATTCAGCAAGTCTAGGAACAGGAACAGAATAGTGACGTTGAGTAAGATGAAAAACCAAAGTAAACAATGAGGACTAATCCCAGGCCTCCAGTGGGTCAAGAACCCTCCCAAAGACATCTGAGCAAGGAAATGGAGCCTGATGAAGATCATGGAGATAAGCAGAGGAACCAAATAAGGGGGGAACAGATCAGCAGAAGAAGGAGAAGAACAAACCTCTCCAGAAAACTCCTTTTGAGCATGACAAAGTGCCTCAGACATAAAGTGAAGTGACAAGAAGTAATGTAGGAGGGTATCAGGAAATAGATAGTCCTGATTTTTCCAAGCCCGTTCCCTTGGCTGTGGTTTCGCTAGATAGTAGATAGGGACAGTGGGAATCTCGTTAATCCTTTCATGCACGTCACTAATTAGATGACGAGGCATTTGGCTACCTTAAGAGAGTCATAGAGAGTCAGGCTAGTATGATATTTTGGTCACTACAATAAAGATATATAAATCTTAATTACACAGTTAAAACATATAAAGAGAAATAAGTTGAGGAATCCACCCCTCACAAAGGTAAAAATGGTTCCAAAGACAGGGAATCAAGGAATGGAAATGGAAAATGGCATTAAGCCAGGACAAAATAATCAAGCAGACCAAGAAGCAGAGGCATGTTAGTACGAGTGAGCAGTTGTTTGAGAAACAAGTCTGTCTGGACCCTAATGTCAGGTGAATGAGGGAATACAAAGTAATCTTGAGCTTGGGATTCACATAATAAAGCACAAGAGGAATCAAAAGACAAAGGGAAAGAAAAAATATTAGAAGGGTGAAGGCCCTGTGTACATGAAAGAACCCACAACATGTTCAACAACTGATGTCATGTCTCCACAGACAATGAGCTCCTCAGTGGTCACGGGTACCATGTTAGGAACATCATTACTATCATGGAACGAAGTAAAAGAGGGCTATCATTGCATGATGATGTCATCATGTAATAACACAGATCACATTAAATAAATTTTTAAGTGGGAGGTAGCTCAAGGCTAGTGGCATACAAATCTCATAGGCAGATATTATGTGAGAGAGGTGAGGTACCATCTCGGAAATATGTTGTAGTGGCAATTGTCAAGATGTTTATGCATAATTGACAGACACAGCATGGTTGAACATGACAACATGAACAATAAATATGTGTTAATGGCTCAAAATAATTTCAATATAATGTACTCAAACTGTATATACTCAAACAGCAAAGTTATTTAATGTTGTTATTTTCCGATATATTTTGGTCACTACAATAAAGATATATAAATCTTAATTACACAGTTAAAACATATAAAGAACTATTATATATGCACATTTCTAATTCACACAAGAAAATTTTTGTCAGTCTTGATAGTTTTTAATTCCATACAACTGCACAAAGCATTACATGAAGGTTCATGCATATTTTCTTTGTACTTGAAAAAAAAAAGGGTTTCACAAAGAAAATTCCTTAATACAAACAGAATGCAGTCTTCAATTTATTTCTTGTAAAAATATTACAAACAAACTCTTTGTTGGAAATAAAGGCCATTTTTCACATCCAAATACTGAAAATGTAAATAAATTTGTTACTTAATGAGAAGATTAACTCATTCATCTTAAAGGTAATTTTCTAAACATGATTAAAAACAAAAATATTTAATCATTATAAAGAATAGAAAATTAACAAATTAACATTAGTTACTCACATGCAACTCATAAGTTAAACACTTAACTTTTTCAGTAATGATGTTGACATAACAAACCCAGCACTAAAAGCAGGATAAAGGAAAGGAGAATTACTTTCAATTTTATCAAAATGGTGAATTATGGTAGGCTCGTTGTCCATCAGGCCATGACCTAGGAAGTAAGGCTAGTATGAAAAGAAAAAACATTCATTCTTTGTTTTTGTTCAATTAGTGAAAGCAATTCTATTCAAACAAATCACTTAGGTAATAATTTTTAATGTAAAATATCTTATTCACCTCTATATAAAGTACTCAAATCTTTAGTAATGGTAAAGTAGAAGTTTCTCAAAATGTTAAAACATTTTTTTCTAAATTAAAAATTTCTAGATTAAATTAAAGAAATTCAGCTTGAGTATTTTTCTTCCTCATTTTGGTACATATGCTGATAAACAAAAAGCTAATTGTTTCCAACCAGAAATACATTATCATTATTATATAGCTTATACATTTATAAAAAGTTAAAAATCAAATAAAGTATGGTTATTTCTGTATATTATTCAATATCTATGAAAACATAAATGTCAATACTTCTTATATGGTGTCTCATTTAGTGCTACAGTTTTTCTTGGAGATTTAGGTTTGATGTTCCTGTGGTTAACACAGCTGTTTCCATTAATATGCATTAACATGTATGTATATTTTTGTTCATTTAACAAAGGACATGTTAATGACATTTTTTACTGTTCCCAGATTTTGAACTTTAAAAAATTATATCTAACTATTTGATCCCCACTTTTTAATTCCTAAAAGTGATTCTAAAGTACATGCACACTGAAGATTCACTACTGTATGTAGATTTTCATCTAACATTCTGACTGGTAGTATAGATTAACATTTTTAATGCTTGTGTACAAAACATTTCTCAATAAAATTAAATGGTAAGGACACATAATGCTTACTTAAACTTTATGTTCTTTAAACGTTTTGTTACCATAAACAATCAAACTTTGAAAGTAATTTTGAATTTAGACAGTTTAACTTACATATTATTATTAATAATAAAATACCTTTGAAGGATCATACTTCTCCAAAAGAGCAGCAAGTTTCTCTAAGTCCACTGATGTGATATCTTCACAGAACAATATCCACGAGCTGTTGTGCTTATGTATATTACTAAGCCTTCCAGGATGATATGTGAATAACGCACAAAAAAACATCAAAATTACAAGCAGTTGGTCATAGTTTGCCAAGAATTATAACCAACAACAATAACAACACAAAAAATAATTTTCTAAACGAGCTTAACCAGCAATGAGTATTAAAGCTCCAACAAACTTTAAAATCTAACCTCAATCCATTAAGTTTTTCAGTGTATTACAGTTATACATTTATGTATACCACCAAGCATAATCACATCAAGATATTTTACAACCATCTAACTATAGTTGCTTACTATATCTAGTTTAAAAATAAAGTGGCCTTGCTAACACAGATGACAAGCAAACAGCATGATAAAAACTAAAAATATGACGAATTAGTGGTTAAAACTGCTGTAAGGTTGTTTGTTGATTTTCCCAGAAAGCTACTCAAGCACCATCTGTGCTAGCCATCCTGATTTTAAAGGGTTAGACTAGAGAAAAAGCAGTTAGTTAACACCATCCACAACCAATTTGTGGGCTACTCTAATTGAATACTGAGATTCGACCATCTCTTTTATAATAAACCACGGAGCCATAGTCAGGCATGCTAACCACTAGACTACACTCTGCCCCTGCTGTAAAGAAAAAGAATTACATGGTTACCAACAAGTTGCCAAGGAAATCTTCAGTCCTGATCATACCACCCAATCTAGAATTTACACATACAAAAATCAAACCGGGGCAAAAGCTTTTCTTTTGTTCTTAAAAATGAATATACTGACAGTTTTCAAGATCACTAAAATACTTCAGATGACTCAGACTAAATGAAATGATAAACAAGCTTCTCCTAACAATAAGGACATTTTCAACAAAATTAGTTCTTTCCTTTCAAAATGGACACTTTATATTGGTCAGTTTAAAGCTTCAGATCTTTTTATCATCATCAGGTATCACCAAGATGTACTAATCATCAAACCTCTGATCTCATATCAAGATGAGCAACCATTTTATTGATAACTTCCAAACTTTACATGTCTTAATGAAGGTTGGTTCATGAAAACATTGACCATATATTTCCTTTACATGTCTTACTGAAGGTTGGTTCATGAAAACATTGACCACATATTTCCTTTACATGTCTTAATGAAGGTTGGTTCATGAAAACATTCACCACATATTTCCTTTACATGTCTTACTGAAGGTTGGTTCATGAAAACATTGACCACATATTTCCTTTACATGTCTTAATGAAGGTTGGTTCATGAAAACATTGACCACATATTTCCTTTACATGTCTTAATGAAGGTTGGTTCATGAAAACATTGACCACATATTTCCTTTACATGTCTTACTGAAGGTTGGTTCATGAAAACATTGACCACATATTTCCTTTACATGTCTTAATGAAGGTTGGTTCATGAAAACATTGACCACATATTTCTTTTCTCTTCAAATACTTTAACCATTTCCTTGGAATATTAAGTGAACTATGATACAATTAGGAAATGACTTAATAGTTGGATACATTAATTGTTATTTTCTACTAAACAAAGAAATATTTACTTAAAAGCAGAAAGTTAATTTTTTATATAAATAATTGTTGTTTGTAATTAAGCACAAAGCTACACAATGGGCTATCTGTGCTCTGCCCACCACAGGTATCGAAACCTGGATTCTAGGTTGTAAGTCTGCAGACATACCGCTGTACCACTGGGGGGCGATATATAAATAATACAAAAGTTTACTACTTATTTTTCATCATTCCAAATCCTTCTGATAGAATTTCTAATAGTTATAAATATTATTATAGCACATGTGTCATAGTAATAAAATCTAGCTCTCTTCAAACTTGGTTAAAATATATTTATTAATTATTAGGATAAAAGAAGCTTGTGTTTAAAAAGATTATGCCTTTCTTTTTTTGATCTTCTGAAATTATCAAACAGTTTATACTGAAGTCAGTAGAAATTAGCTTAAAGAATGCAGATATATTTGACTTGAATATAATTTTTTTGGTTTGATGCACCTTATACAAACATCTTAAATAAAATGATTATTTTAAAATAGAAAGATTAAGAAAAACTTAAATTTATACTTTTTTCTCAAAAGATCAACTATCACATTTACAATGGAACAAATAACCTTACACTATCTTATCACACAAGTTAGGTTATATCCTAATGACATTTTATTAAATTGCAAAGACTTAACATTACTTTCATTAATGCACCAAAAAAGGAAGGTCACACTAGATGATAGAAATTAAAATTATCTAGAAACTTAATTATGATATAGTCAAAATCTTATCCACTATCATCTGCATTTTCGAGATCTCATTATTAGTTTGCTAAATCCTGACCATTATTTCAAACTTTTTATTCAGCATATCTTTAGTTATGTTCAACTTTCATGTGTTGAGCTGTTTGATTGCATGAGTGTTTCAGTTTATTTTTTTCCACCCTGGAAAAACTATTTTCTTTTTACCATTAGATTTATCACTTGTTATTTTAGTGATTCCTTCAGTTTCAGTTATTATTATCATTGTGTCAATGATGAACATGAGTCGAAATTTTTCATGGAATTACAGTCTGTTAGAACTGGTGAAAGTTTTGAAACCTGGCAAACACAAATACAAGCGGCAGCTATTTTGATGTACTTAGGTCTGTAGTGGAAGGTTTTGAAACATACCAGATGACTGATACAATAGTGCTTATATGCATCAGTGATTAAAGATGCAGGAACAAACAACTCAAAAGAAAAGACCTGCTTCAACCCTGTAGTTGAACACAGCTCGTTTCACTTTTGTTCATATCTATAGAATTGGCAACAGTGTACATCATAAAGAGACAAGGTTTCAAGTTCTACTATTGATCAATGGTATCTTCTCTGGAGACCTAAATATAAACAACATTCTGAGTTCAGCATCATGACTCAGTTATGATAAGAATGGACACAGATCATATTACACCTCTAAGGGGCAAACTTTTGATGGTATTAGACTTAGTTGTACAGCCTTTTTGTAGGTGTAATTGGATCACATTTCGTCCTGATGTACAATAATTTCTAGTGTCACACATTAACCAGTAAAAAGTCACAATTTAAGTTCCAGAGAACACTCCCTAGAACCTCTTCAGACTGTATGTATATGAATTAGAAAGCACAGTGTTAAACTGACTGATAAATGGGACAGGATCTCCCATAATGCCATATATTAACTATCAAAAACTTGCAGAGGAGTGTAGACTAATAGTGTCTCTTTCAAACAAGTTCAATCAGTCAGATTTTAATTTTGACCATTTTCATTTGATGCCATTCATGCCCCATATATTGCAATTAGTAACACATTGTCAATGATACCGACTCACTAACATATTCTGTGAATAAATGGTGTTTCTAAGTTAACATTTTCTTAAATTGTAATGTACTACCAATAATACTTACACTGATAGCTATTACTTTACTACCAGGGTTTCTTTCTTTCTTTGCCCGTCTAAGCATTAGTTTGATTTTTTCTCACTTGCTCTAGTCTTTTATACCCCACTTAATTGCCCTTGGTGATATTTGTTGTATGACACTCCATCTACGTCAATGCATCCTCTATCCTTATACTGTATATAAGCACCTCATTCAGAAAATGTTATCACTTTTTCGAGATTGACTCAATCTGCAGTCTCTAACACTGGCTCTTGGTGGAGAGAAAAGGGCAGGAGAGTTGGAAGTAAGTATCATTGCAAATGCATTATCGAGTTAAGAAAATATTAACTTCCAAAACATACTTACCACCTCTCACACTACAGCTAGAATCCCACGTTGAGAAGGTGGAGGGACCAGTGAGAGCATTATCCATACAGAAAGCATGTGCATAGTTCATGGATGTATCAATAGAAGACTAGCACCCTAGTGGGAGAACCGCACTACATCCAGAACAGGTGTAATCTTCACCCGGAACTCAATTCATGTACTGTGGGTGGAATTTTACATGATTTATCATCACTATTAGCTAGGCCCCAACCAACCACACAAGGTTCCACTGCTCGGGGTTGGAAATATAGGACCACGACCCACATATCCCACGTTGGTAGATAGGGCAATTGGACCACAAGATATGCATACTTACATATCTATATATATATCCTTATAAGTGGATATTCACACTAACACTCTGAAGGAAAAGCCTCTGTCCACCACCCCAGTGACTGGAAACTGGGTGTGGTAAGAATTCCTTAGCTCCATTAGTAGAATCAGGGGGGTAATGCAAGTCAGGGAGTCCTAAGAAACAGTGCAATAGGTGAAACAAGTTCCTTAAATTTTTAAAAGCAAACCGACCCCACTTTATTCAATCCAATGATTAGCAGGAATGGGCAGGATCCCCCTTATGCTTTACTCATGATAGTCCATGAGTGGTGGTCCAGAATAGTACAGTAATACTACCCGGTCAGCCTCTAGGTGGTCTAATGGAACACCTCATTTCTACAGAGCCTGTTTCAACCCAGAAAAAGTATATTGAATTAGTAGTTCCTAGTGCGGAACCGGTTTGATAAAAGCACATCTGCTTGGGCAACATTCTCGACAGAGTGGGATCCTGAGAAAACCAAGCAAGGGACCCTGAAAGGTAAAGAACAGACAAGCGTAGCAATGAAAATACTCACCCCCTGTGTATAAACTAGCGGAAGTAGTTAAGATAGCTACAGGGGGTAGTCAAAAACCCATAAATGAAGATACTGCCTGATCGTGCAAATAATGCGAGATAAAAGTATTGACAAAAGTCCACATAACATCCTCCAGTGAGAAATTCAACCGGGCTGCTGAGGACATAGAAATATGACAAATCAGATCAGAGACGACTTGTATAATTCTGCTCACCTTCAAAGAGGGGCCAGAATAAGTGATATGATTCAATTTCATACCCACTGCATCAATGTAACTGGGGGTAAATCCTGGGAAACTGAATGATCTCGATGAATAAATTGCCATTGCCTAGCATTCCAAAAGGCATAACTGCAAGCAACAAAACCTTCAAGACCCTCACTGGACACAAGA